AGATGGAGTGGCATATATTCAATTAGAAAAGGGCAAAGATGAAGTCAGAGCATACAAAAAGGTAAGATGTCCGGAAATCATAACAAATGGATTTAATACAGGTATAAACTTTGATGATGTTGTATTTAAACATAATGATATTACATATTTGTGTTTTGACTATGACACTGACACCATTGTATTCAGCAAACCTACTAATTTAGTATTAGGTGGTGGTGGTGTTGATTATGATTTAGTAGTTGGTAGTAGTCTAACAGTTTTAGGTGTAAGAAATGGAACTAATGTACTAACCGCTAATGGAACATCCTATTTAGATGGTGCTGTAAATTGTAATGGTGGGGTGTATAGTAATGCTTATCATTCTTTTTCTAATGCTAATCTTGATTTTTACAGAAATAATATTTTACACCTGACTTTTAACACTGCTAATGAATTGGTTTTTCCAAGAAGAGCAAATTTTAATGATGCGACTTTATTTAATGCTGGAATATGGGCAGATAGTATTAATACAGTTAGTGTTGGCAATATGACATTTAACAGAGCAGGAAGTCTATTTATGACATTCAATACATCTAATCAGGTATTGATAGAAAAAGAAACTGTATGTAAGGATGTTTTAAAATCAAATGTCATCAGCACTTACACTGATACTGATTTAAATATTCAAAGGAACGGGACTACATACATAAATTTATCAAATACAAATGATAGGGTAGAAATGTTTTAATATCTAAATATAGCACTTGATGGGACGCAAATGATTTTAACAAACCCAACGGGAGGCAATTATATAGTTCATAGTTTAGGTAATCATATTTCTGCTTTTGCTTCTGGTGGATTGCCTAATGTATTACATTTAAATTATTATTCAGGCGGTGATATATTTTTAGGACACCAAGGAGGAGCACCTACAATTACTGTGAATAAATGGTCGTCTAATACAGGTAAATCATTTGAAGTAGCGGGTGTTAGTGAATTTTCTGGTGGTGAGTTAATAGCAGGTGGTGGCATCAATACCAATACAATAAATACCGATGGTGATGCTGATATGAATATTCAAAGGAATGGCAATACTTACATAAATTTAAATACAGCAAGTGATAGAATTGATTTTTACAAAAACATTTTTGGTAATGGTAATTTTTCATTAGGTGGATTATCAGGAAGTGGTATTTATTACAGTGATGAAGGAGAAACTTATAAAATAATGGATATTAGAAATAATACTGTATCGGGTGCTACTATAAGGTTTATATGTGGTAGTCAAAGTGCTACTAATATTATTTTTCAATTAAATCAAACAAACGCTTACTGTGGTAGAAATTTAGCAATTGACCCCAGTTATAAATTATCAACTAATGTGATAGATACTTATGATGCTAATGATTTAGTGTTTTATAGAAGCACTGTTGAATATTTTAGATTAGATGGTGCTAATAGTCTTCTTAATGTTGCTTCAGGTGTGGGTATTTCATCAAGTATTGTTTATGGCAATTACTTTAAAAGTAGAACTAACAATACTGATACAATCTGGGAGGGAGCAGTGAATGGTGGAACAAGGAAAGAAATATTCAGATTTAATTATTTAGGAGATAGTTTAGATTTTAACACTACCATAGATAATACCGGTCTTGGGGTAATTGGTAATATTGTAGATACAACCGTATCTGATGAAAAGTTAAAAGAGAACATAAACGATGTTGAATGCGATGCCTCAATGGTTGTTAAGAACATCAATGTAAAAACTTTCAACTACAAAGATAAGAAATATGGAGTTGGAGAACAATTCGGTTTTATAGCAGATGAATTACAAAGAGAACTACCAAAAGAATTCAGTAAAATTGTTGGCAATGATAAGGAAGGTAATTTAAATATGAACTTTATTAAACTTTCAGCGGTGTTGTGGAAAGCATTACAAGAACAAATTGTTAAAACTGAATATTTAGAAGCAAGATTGTTTGAAGTTGAAAATTTGGTTCAGCATCCAAAACCCAAACCAAAGAGTAAGGCAAAAGCAAAATCAAAAGATTAAATCTAAAATAAATATATAAATGGGAAATAAACAAAGCAATATAAATGAGAATAACTTTATTGAAGAAATCAAAGATATTAATATTGATGACTTAGATTTGTCAAAGATAGATGCTTTACAATTGAAAGCAATTAAGCAAGTGGCAGAAAGGTTAAAAGTATTGGAAAAGGAGAAACAAACAAAACTAATATATACTATTCCAAAGGTTGATTTATGTAATATGAGTTTGTTTTAATAATATTATTGATTTTAATATTATTAACTTTGTGATTTCAAATTTAGTTGTTTTTTGTTGTTTTCACGAAGCATTTTTTGCTTATCACGATACTCTTTACATTTCGCCAGCACTTTTTCTTTGTTGTTTTCATAGTGTTTTCGTTTGTATTTCTTAATTTGTTCCTTGTTGTTTTCACAAAAGATTTTCTTTTTGTATAATAATATGTCTCTATTGTCCTCTCTGTATTCTTTATCGTTTCTTGAAGGCACTTGAATATTTAAGGATGAATTCAATTGTTCTTTGTAAAACCTTTCTCTTTTTCCTGCTTCTAAAGCATTATCCAAACATTCTGTCTCAATTAATACCATTTCAAAATTGTCCCAGCCTCCATTTGCTCGTATAAATTGATAAAGATGAAGGTTGTAGTGTTTATCGGTGTCATTTAAGCAACAAAACTTGTGCTGAGACTTTCTTTTTGATAAAAGGCTGGTTGTCATACCAACATAGCAATCAGTTATACTTGTATCCCTACAAACAATTTTGTAGAAATGTGTTTTACTGTAGTCTATAGGTTTTCGTGGCATACTATCTTATAATATCTTTTAAGTTCTTAAATCTTTAAATGTATTTTCAATTAATATGAATTGCCTTCTCTAATCTAATCATAAATATCTTATTCAAATCACTCATACGAAGTTTAACAAATAAAAAAGAGTAAGGTTCTTCTGTTGCTATTTTATAAATTTGATATAAGGTCTTTCTATCAACCAGTGCTGATTGTTCTTCAATAAAAGTATCAACCTCTTTCATATTCTTCAATTTGAAGATATATAATGAAGATGTATTTACTCTTACAATCGTCGCGAGGGCATTTAGTTTCTGACTGGCAGTTATTACTGATAGTCCGAAGTGTCTTGATTTTGTGTATAGACCGTGAAGGATTTTAGAATATCTCATAAAAGTTTTATCCTCTGCGAAATCATATATAATCAATAAGCAACTGAATAACTTGGTCATTTTCATTTTCTTCTGATACTCTATGACTTTGTGCTGTGTGTCTATGATATGTTGTAATGCTTCGGCATTATATTCATCAAATAAGTATTGTAATTGTTCTTTTTTATTATCAATTTTTAACTCTTTTTCAATGTATTTTATTACCTCTTTGTATGCTTCATCTATGTGAGCGGTTGGGGATACAATGTATATTCTCTCAAAGCATCCTCTGTATATTTTCAGAATAAGGTTCTGAGTTAATATACCCTTACCGCCTTGACTGGCACTAACAATAATTGACCTAAACGGCAACTTGTCCGCTTGTGGGTATTGAGACTGTTTAAACTCATACTGCTTTACATTGATTGGTTCTATCTTAGGTATGTCAAGTTTTTTCATAATATAATGTATTTAAGAAATAAATTTATAATATAAATTGTAGTGGCATATCTTATCTTGCTGGAATAAGGGGTCGCAAGGTTTGGAACAGACTGCCATTTACCTGCCATACGAGCATCAGGACAGTTAATTCAGTTCCCCGCAACAAACAGTTGAATATGTGTCTTACTTTTGAATTAGTTTGATGCCATGCTTTTGAGAGAACCCGCGCCCCAACCCTGTTCTCTTTCATTTACACAAGCGCAAGTATAATTAGAACATAGCAAAACTATTTTCTAATAGTAATGGTTGTGATTGATGATGAAGAGATAATTGAGAATATAGAAACCCTGATTGATGACGCTTCGGACGAAGTCCTCGCGAGCATTCGCGACGCTAAATTTCCTGTGGTTGAAGATGGTAAGATAAAAATGTTAAAGATGATTTTGGAATATCAAATGTTTTATTCATTATCTAATCAATAATATAAAGGATGCCTCCGAAAAAGAAAAGCAGTAAATCCAAAAAAACTATTCCAGAGGATTTTGAACTGTCTGATGATGAACCCAAAATGGTAAGTTTAAGTCAGGAACAAAAACTAACAAGCAAAAATATTATCTTTGATTGCCCTTTATGTCAGGGAAAATTACAGTTGAGGAACGAAATTGAAATCAACCCCAAAGGCATAACCTGTCGTTGTAATCCGTGTAGTTTCAAACTGACTAAAAATGATAAGACTATGAATGTCAGTAAGGATGATGAAGGGGGGATTACATTGGATAGTCAAGACCACAGCATCTCGTTTGCTTTCAATCGAATTACTACTCCTCCAACAGAAGATGAAAGATATAGAAATGATATGATAAAAGATGTTATGAATACACCACGGAACAGCAAAAAACAGATGATGTCTGAAATGGATTGAAACGAAACCATTTAAAGAGTAGTTTTTCTATCAACTCCAACTCATAAATGAATAATTAAATAAATTAATTTCTAAATAAATAAATAGTAATGTCAAGTGGAGATGAGAGCAAGACTGAAATGAAAGAGTTGATGGATAAATTCAACAAATACGCTAAACAGGTGAAACTGGTTCTGGCAAAACTTGAAGAAATTGACAAGAAAGTAGGACAAAACTATTACTATTTAGATGATGATAAGAGGGGTTATTTACGCCACGAATTGTGAAAGGTGTAAGGCTTGTTCATGCTGATGTGTTGTTGCTTCCAGTGCTTGACATCACTGTCGTTAAGGCTCAACAATATCAAACTGCACTGCGCTGATGCTTCAAGTAAGATCATGATTCAAAGTCAGGAGGAGTAAGAGCTGTTGCAGGAATACGAGCTGTTGCTTTTCAAGACTTTTGTTGTAGCAATGGTTGCCTTGCGCAATGCTCATGTTCGGCGCTATGTCCTTCAGTGCCATTTCTTCTGCTTTTGGCATTTCGCAGCGCGAACCTTACAGTTCTCTGCCCTGCCGCCGAATACAAAGATTCAGAAGGGCATTACCCAACCACAACCCGTTTCTTGGTAAAGATTAGTTTTAGTCGTAGCCCGAGTTCGTTGTGTTTTGTTTCTCGTTGATGTGAGATAGCGTTTATGTTTCTGTGGCTGCTTTGCTTGGTTTCAGGTTCAGAGCGATGTTCCCGAGAATGTCAAGGCCTTCGCACGAGCTTTGGATGATGCAGAGCTGGAAGGGCAAATTCTCAGAACGGAAACGGGCAGTTTCAAGTTGCAAAACGTTTCTGAAATTTGGGACGAGAAGCAGTTCTACGTGCGGGGGTGCTACACAGAAATTGCCGACATCATGTTGAAGAAAAAAACCCGTGATGTCGCTGCTGGGCTCGTCTGGGATCGGCAAGTCCAATTTTATGGTATATTTAATCTGGCGTCGCTTCCACGACAGTGAGCTTAAAGACTTCCCAGTTTTTCTGCACCAGAGGGACATCATCCATCTGTTTCAGAAGGGCAAAGAGCCCAAAGAGGTGGATGTCAAGACTTTGAAGTCAGCGCCTGCACAAGCTTTGTATATCATGGATGCCGACATTGATGTGGAACATAGGGTCTTTTGCCAGTCTTTGTGGATTACCTCTGCAGCGGCTTTCAACACCGAACATTTTAAGAAGGCCGAGCGCTTTTCTGGGCAGTGCTTTATGCCACCATGGACGTTGACGGAGATGCTGAGTGCAGAGGTCATGGCCTTACACAAGCTGAATGAGGAGGTTGTCAAGGAACGCTTCGGCATCTTTGGTGGCACTGCGAGGCTTGTTTTGGAGAGGGACGAGACAAGGGCAGAGAATGACAAGGAGAGGCTCGTTGAGGCCGTGCAGTCAGCAGATGCGCTGCAATCCCTGAAAGTATCGTCTGACATGAAAGCCATAAGCAAGACGACGCATTTGCTGGTGAAGATGCACCCAAAGCGGGAGTTCAGCTGGTTTGATGTGCAGTTGTCGTCTCCCTATGTTCGGCAAGAGCTGGTGAAGCAAAATAGACAGGACAACTCCGAAGAACTTTGGAAAAGGATGCGGGAAGGAATGATTACTGGCATCGGTTTTGCATTGTTTGAGGAAGAGTTCCACCAGTTCATGCAGGACAAGTCCATCGGCAAGTTCAAGCTCCGAGCCAGATGCTTGACAGCTGAGGGGAAGGGGTCTGATACAACACAGGAACTCCAAGGTGGTCTTGAAGGAGTGCTGATTTCGGGCAATCCCGCAGCAGACATCAAGGATGGCGAATACTACCAGCCGCAGAGCAAAAACTTTCCTGCCTTTGACTCATGGACCTCACAGGGCGTTTTTCAGCTGACGATTGCCGATACACATGACATCACCTTCAATGACAGTGGCAAGGCAATGGACGTGACGAAGACGCAGGCGTCTAAGATTGTGGATGCACTTTGCAAGAAGCATGACAGCAAAGCCAAATTCTTCTTTGTCGTTCCGCAGTTTCAGTTTGATAAGTGGAAGACTGTGCAGACAGTGAAACAGCCAGAGATGGCTGAGAAGATTGAGCAATGGGTCGTGTGCTTTGAACAGAACCTTCCGAAGTGAAGTGGAGCAGCGCGCTCGTGACCAAAATGAGGAAAGTCCGACATCCCCCAGTTCGGGGTTATGGGTTTTTGGGTTTTTTCTATTAGGGTCTTACCCCACACCTCATTAGGATATTGGTTGTAGAATGGACAAGGTTATGGGGTTGGGAGGTTCTTATGTTTTTTTTTTTGAAATATTGTTTTCTATGAGGGAGACCTTGCCCCCTAATTCTATGATGGTTTGTTGTTTGTATTTTGATTGGTTCATTGAATATTTTTTGGCATTGATTATTCAACAATCTTATTGGTTGGTTTGTTGAATAATTTTTGTGATGGGGTGTTGTTTTGGTTTTTGATGATTGCTTGTTGCTATGGTTTTGTTATTGTCTTGGTTGATTGATTACTCATTGGATTTTGGTTATGTCTTGGTTGTTCTGATTTATTTGTGTTGTTTGGTTGATTGATTTCTTATTGGTTTATGGGTATGCTTTGGTTGTTATGATTTGTTTGTGTGATGTTATGGGGGTTGGTTGCTTTGAAATGTTGTCTGTATGTTTGCGGTTGTGGAGGATGGGAAGATGGGCAAGGGCCATTCTAACTAACTTATATAACCATTATACTTAATATACATGCAACAATTACATATGAATATTACAATATTAACTATAATATTAACCATTGATACTTAAGATATAATCTTCTCAGCAGAGCCGCCAGCCATGGACCTGGCAATGTGTTCCAAAATGCGAAGTTGTCATTGTATTACAGCAAGCCCCAAAAAATAGATCAGCGAATTATTATGTACCATTTATGTACCATTTATGTACCATGAATGTACCATTAATGTACCATTAATGGTTTTTAGTGTTTTTGTTGTTTCGTTTTCTATCCTTTTGGGGATTATGAATCACAGAGACAGAAAATTATCATGTTCCCCACGAAGCTGTGGCTGCCGACCTACCCAGCCCAGGTTAATGCGAAACGAAGATGAGGACGTTGCCACAGCGTCGTAGCAATTCGGATTGACTGGAACATGTGGTAACATACAGTTGTTAAATGTTACGTATTATTACATGGATTAATATGGATTTATATGGATGAATATGGATTAATATGGATTAATATGGATTAATATGGACTAATATGGATTAATATGGGATATACCGTTGATATACCATCAAACCAGGCCTCTTAGTTCCTCGTGGACCTGGAGGATCTCAAGAGGAAAGTCCAAACTGTTCCAGCGAGGTGGCCTTTGTATACCAAACATGAATCACTACATATGTATACCAAAGAAATGCTTGAAACCATGTTTATTGTTATGCTAAATATATATATATATAATGATTATATATATAATGATTATATATATAATGATTATATATATAATGATTATATATATATAATCATTATATATATATAATGACTATATATAATGATTATATATATATATATAGAATCTGAAAATATGTTAACCTCTCACATCCCCCAGTGCCAATCAGTTGGACCACAGGGCTTCGGCTTGGGCTATGTGGTGGAAACCTTCTACGACCAGCCCTCGGCTGAAGTCTTTCTCTTGGCAGGTGCTTTTTTTTGGGGTGCAAAATAACAGTTTGTACCAAAAATGTTGGGGGTTGACCACCATCAAGAAGAACAGGATTGAATGAAACCTCTAGGCTTAGCCCCAAAAATGGATATAACCATAAAAAAATGGAGTTGAACCATCAACTATTGAAAATTTACGCAGATTCATCCAACATTGCAATTGAATAAGGGGAAGACATGTTTCCATTTTATTGGCTACATTGTTCCCCACCTGCCAGGTGAGGGTTGTTAGATTTTATGTCAGTTGCCTCCTCCTCCTCCTGCTCCTCCTCCTCCTCCGCCTCCTCCTGCCTCGTCCTCCTCTCCTCCTCCTCCTCGTCCTCCTTGTCATCCTTGTCGTCCTTGTCGTCCTCGTCGTCCTCGTCGTCCTCGTCGTCCTGGCTCAACTGCGACCCGCGATCCACAGTGTTCTCTGCCGGACCTCAACCACGACCACCCACGCCTAGTGTTCCCTGCCGGACCTCAACCACGACCATCCACGCCCAGTGTTCCCTGCCGGACCTCAACCACGACCATCCGCGCCCAGTGTTCCCTGCCGGACCTCAACCACGACCATCCGCTCCCAGTGTTCCCTGCCGGACCTCAACCGCGAGTATCCATGCCAAAAGATATGCCACATAGAGTGCCAGAAGATATACCAGATAAAATGTTAGAAGATATGCCAGATAGAATGCGAGAAGATATGCCAGATAGAATGCCAGATAGAATGCCAGATAGAATTTCAGATAGAATGCCAGAAGATATGCCAGATAAAGTGCCAGAATGTTTGCCAGATAGAATGCCAGCAGATTTGCCAGATAATATGCCAGAAGATATGCTAGATAGAATGCCAGATGGAATGCCAGAAGATTTGCTAGATAATATGCCAGAAGATATGCCAGATAGAATGCCAGATGGAATGCCAGAAGATATGCCAGAACATTTGCCAGAAGATATGCCAGAAGATATGCCAGAACATCTGCCAGAAGATATGCCAGAACATCTGCCAGAAGATATGCCAGGTAGAATGCCAGAAGATATGCCAGATCGAATGCCAGAAAATATGTCAGATAGAATGCCAGAAGATTTGTCAGTAACAAAATATATAAATGTCATGGTGGGGATCATACGAAGTAAAATATTTTTTTTGCTTCTCAGCATCCCTCTTGGATATCATCCTCAAGGCTGGGTCATATCCCATCGTAGTTGTAGGCATCGGTGATATCTCTATGTTTGGATTGGTGATCTCCTTGTCTTGTGGGTACCATCTCATATTCGTGGCTTAAGTCATAGAAATCTTGATTTTGAGTGAAGTAACCAATTGTGTTTCTCAGACCAACATGTTTCTTATAGTTATGATAACGTCCCGTTTAGTTGGAGTTTAGGCTTCTTTGTTAGTGATGAAGTCATTTGAGTCATCCATTTTGTGTTCACAAAATCCACATGTTGATACTTTGAGTCTTTCGAATTCTTTTTCAAAATCCCAATGTTCGGCTTGCCATATATGCCATATGTTGACCCATTAGGTTGTCGCTGGTTTATATGGTATTTGAGCCATCGAGACTTCGCAAAGCCGTCAGATGAGACGCCTGAGCAACCATCCCACGGTGACAGCGATTTGAGAACTAGAATAGGTTCTTACAATTGGCCTGGAATATATATATATATATATTATACACATATATTTATTTAGATCAGCATGCACATATATATATTATATAGCTAGATAGATAGATAGATAGATAGGTAGATAGATAGATAGATAGAAAGACAGATAGATAAATAGACAGGTAGACAGCTAGATAGATAGACAGATGAAAGAGAGAGAGGGAGAGAGAGAGAGAGAGAGAGATAGAGAGATAGATAGATAGATAGATAGACAGGTAGACAGCTAGATAGATAGACAGATGAAAGAGAGAGAGGGAGATAGAGAGAGAGAGAGAGTGAGAGATAGATAGATAGATAGATAGATAGATATATAGATAGATAGATAGATAGACAGGTAGACAGCTAGATAGATAGACAGATGAAAGAGAGAGAGAGGGAGAGAGAGAGAGAGAGATAGATAGATAGATAGATAGATGGATAGATAGATAGATAGATAGACAGGTAGACAGCTAGATAGAAGATAGACAGATGAAAGAGAGAGAGGGAGGGAGAGAGAGAGAGAGAGAGATAGAGAGAGATAGATATATAGATGGATAGATAGATAGATAGATAGATAGACAGGTAGACAGCTAGATAGATAGACAGATGAACGAGAGAGAGGGAGAGAGAGAGAGAGAGATAGATAGATAGACAGATAGACAGGTAGACAGCTAGATAGATAGACAGATGTAAGAGAGATAGATAGATAGATAGATCGATCGATAGATAGGTAGATAGATAGATAGATAGACAGGTAGACAGCTAGATAGATAGACAGATGAAAGAGAGAGAGGGAGAGAGAGAGAGAGATAGATAGATCGATCGATAGACAGATAGATAGATAGATAGATAGATAGGTAGATAGAAAGATAGATAGATAGACAGGTAGACAGCTAGATAGATAGACAGATGAAAGAGAGAGAGGGAGAGAGCGAGATAGATAGATAGATCGATAGATAGATAGATAGATAGATCGATAGATAGATAGATAGAGAGAGAGATAGATAGATAGATAGATAGACAGGTAGACAACTAGATAGATAGACAGATGAAAGAGAGAGAGGGGGAGAGAGAGAGAGAGAGAGGGAGAGAGAGAGAGAGA